AGTTATGTAAGTCTTGAAGATTTTGAAAGATATTGCACAAATTTTGCGAGTTAAAGCACCATTTATTTTTGTATAGGAAAAACATATGATACCAACATAACTATTTAGAACATTCATGGGAGTCAGGAACACTATCTCATTGAAGTATGCTTTCAAAATAACCTTGCTTCAATTAGGACTTTTGAAGGTTGTAACGTGGTCTGGTTCATGGTTTTTAGAAAAAAGATTTTAAGGATCAAAATATTTGGTGCCCACCCATTCTTCATGATGTTCTCCAACCCTATGTTCAGTTAATTCAACATGAGTGTTCATCTCTCAAAAGGATTTTGTGACGGTCAAGGAAACGACGAGGCTTTCGGAGTAGAAACCACCCTCATGTCTTCGTGTTTGTAGTCACCAATTTGATCTTTGCTGAGGACTTTTCTTTGCAGTCCTTTTCTTTGCGATTTTATTTTCCCTAACTTTTGCCTGAACTAATTCTTTTTAATTGATAGTCCAGCGGGATGCCTTAATTTTGCCTAAGTCACACGTTTTCATGTTTTTTGACTTAGCAGGCTTTTTCTTTTTCTCGATTTTTGACTTTTTGAACAAAATGTGTGACATTAGCTTGTATTTGCTTGTTGAGAAGATTGTGATTTCCTCGTTTCTTGATGAATGAGGGTTATCATTATGGTTCCACATCCTCTAGATTCATTATACATGAAGGATAGCCCTCGTAGTTTCTGTTCAAAAAACATCTTCCTTATGAATTTTGAACACTCAGTCAGATTAACTAAAAACTACCCTGCCCCAGGTTAAAATTCAAGGTTTTTTTCGTATAGAAAAGAAACTTCTGCTTCAAAGGCTCAAAAGGGGTTAGCAAGGGATTATCTTCCTTATATCTCCAGTGTTTAGGGATTTGAAACAATGCCTGTACATCATCAGCAAGATTTTATCCAAAATCAAACAACCAGAGATTTTGTGTTCTTTAGATCATCATCCTCCCTTCAATCTCTGCCTAGGCAAGAGAATGGGCAACAAGTTGGTATCATAATGCCAAAAGAAATTTAAAATTTGAAAACAAATATGAGTGAAACGAATGAATTTCTTCAAGACAAACATACTCATTATATTAAGATAATCATATAGATGCAAACAAGTTCTTACATGCAAACAATGTTTTGATAAACAAGAAAAATTACAAAAAAGCAGAAATAAGTTAATGATCTGGGAAGGCTTTCCATCTGGACTTGAATTACCGAAAACATCCTTCAAAAATCAAAGTCACTATCAATCGTGTTTACTCTTCGGCGCATGCTTGATTTGAACTCCAAAACCAACGTCCTTGAATGACAAGATACCACTTCTAACCAACTTCTGAACCTCAATCTTCAAAGCAAAGCAACCCTCCAAGTCATGCCCAGGAGCACCTTGATGAAAGGTACAAGCCAAATCAGCTTTGTAGTACCAATGTATCTTCTCAGGAACCTTTCGGTGGAGGTCGGGTCTGAACCAAATTCCTCTGCATCAGGATAGGGAACAACTCTGTATAGGTAATTGGAATTGGATCAAATTGGGTTTTCCTCTGATTAGGAACTTGCTGATTCTGTTGATGAATAGGAGAAACATGATGATTCTGACGATGATTATTTCTTGCTCTGGTTCTCTTCTTGGAAAAGTTATTATCAAACTTCTTCACACCATTAGATGAACTACCATCTTCATACGAACATCCCTTTCCGACATCTTCTTCTAGACGCACTCCCACATTCACCTTGTCAGGAAAGTCATTAGGTGCATTAACCATCACCTTCTCATGAGAGAATGATTTTAGAGTTTTAGTGAAGACTTTTATCATCGCTTCCTCCATCCTAGAAGGATTGACTTGGGCGGTAACCAAAATTTCAATCCAAAACAGTCGAGTGATCCATACCAGCTTTCAAAATAGTCATCTCTCTACGGAGTTCAGAAACCTCTTGCTTGATATTCTCCATTGTCCTCTTAGCGCGAGTTTTGTACTAGTGAGACCAAAGGAAAAATAAGACTCGGGAAAAGACCTTTGAAAGTGAAACAAAAAATGTAGAATGATGCATGATATGCAAAAGAGAGTTTTTATTTGATTTTCAAGGAACTCAAGATATTAAGTTGTAAACATCAAAGTATGAAAATAGAAGATGAATTTTAAATTGGCTCCAAACATTGATCAAGTTATCATCAAGATCAATCATCCATTTTGGTGGATTAGGGTTTTCGCCCTATCAACACCCAAGATCCATTGAGCTTGACGAAACTTGTGATGTTTACAAAGAAAGACCTCCAAATTCCTTCAAAGTCAAGTGAAAAGGATTTTATGGATGCATGACTATGCAACAACCACAAGCAAGGTCACAAATAAAGTCGAATGGTTCAACGTCACGAGTATGGAGTCAAGGTAAGGAACACCCCAAGGTATGTACTAACGGTTTAATCACACCTGTAGAACAAGGTTCTAAGAGTTCCCGGAGTCTACGTTCCTCCTTCGGATATTACCAACGTCTTGATTACTCAATAATCAGCAATATTCTCAGGAGAGACTCATCCGAGCGTAGCATCGCGTAACAATTACTTCCGGATTACTCCGTTATAATCTCTGCGCTACACCTAAAAGGCCAAGATGGGTTAGGGTTCTACGGTTCCCAGCTTCTCTGGCTCCCAGGTCGAAAATAATAATGTCTTCCCGATTACTTGGTAAACAAATATTGCATTCAAAAGGGCCTTCCACTGAGTGGGGGATCTCATGCCTCCTTCTTCGGGATTACTCCCTCAAAGTTAACATGACTATACCGCCCGTCCTATTCCTAAGTGTAACTTAGTCCGGGTATAGGACTTGTCCTTTGTAAATATTATCGACACCCGAATAATCATAATATATACATATAATCAAACAATCAAATAATGATAAAACAGATAAAACAAATTAGGCTTAATCCACTTAGGGATGGACCAGCAAGAGGTCAATCTGTCCCCAGCAGAGTCGCCAATTCTGTAGTGGTGAAAACCGGAGATCAAGCTATTAATTAACTCTCACAAAAAGCAAGAGTCGCCACCGCACTTTATTATTTCCAAGGGAAAAGGGAAAAGAGCGAAATAAAACCCTAAAATATGCAATGTAAAATAATACTTAAAAATAATAAAAATACAATGCGTTTTTTGAAAGAGATTGAGAGTTCGGGGGTAGGTTATACAATGGGAAGGTATTAGCACCCAATGCATCTGCGGTACTTCGCAAGAACCTTTTGAAATATCTGTTTTTGGTTAAAATTGTTTGTTTGATTAAAATCGCTCGTTTGGCTAAAAATCGGTGTTGGAGAGATTTTGAAAATGTGATAACCTAATGTCGAAGTTTTGACTTAAAGGGTATGAGTTTGAAAATGGAGTCTTTTGGGAAAATTATCTTAAGTTTGGAAAAATAGTAAACGAGCAAAAAATGAATGAGGCTATTCGCACGATTGTAGAAGACGTATTTGATGACATGAAGTCAGCTGAGTTGAAACATTTCCCTTGGAATTAATCATAAGTGGGTAGATCTAATGTTCGAGTGAGAAATCATAAATAATTAAAATCCACGAGAAACGAACAAGGTAGATAACAAGATAAATTGTAAGAAACTAAATGAATGGACAAAGAAGAATCATGAATAGAAGAAAAGTGTAATTAAAAAAATTATCTAAACTAATTTGAAATTCTAAGGTTACTAAGTAAACTAAACTTAAATTCTAAGGTGTCTAACTAAATTAAATAAAATTTTGAAGTTATTAACTAAAACTAAATTAAAACTCTAAAGTTACTAACAAAAATTTGAAAGTTATTAAATTAAATCTAAAATAAATTAACACTCTAATATTACTGAATTATGTCTAAACTAAATTAATTCTAAAGTTGCTAAATTACATCTAAACTAGTTTAAGTATAAACTAAATTCATTATAAAATTACTAATTTAATCTAAACTATATTAATAATAAAATTACTAACTTAAATCAAAACTAAATTAATTCTAAATTAAAGATTAAAATTCTAAAATTAGATTAAAATTCTAAAGTTATCAAAATGTATCTAAACTAATTGGAAGTTCTAAAGTTATAAAATAGATCTAAACAAATTAAAATTTTTAAGTTATCAAAATACACCTAAACTAATTAAAGGTTCTAACATTACTAATTTATATTAAATTAAAATTATAAAGTTATTAATTATGATTCTAAATATTTTAAAGTTATAAAATACATCTAAACTAATTAAAAAATTCTAAATTAATGCTAAACTAAATCTAAATATAAGATTTACTAATATTTTTTTTTAATATTTTTTTTATAATCAAACTACTTACATATAAACTATAAACGGTTAACATAAGTTTGGATTTGAAGTCTAGACTTCTATTGGAAGATAAAACTTAGAAGCAACAACAATTAAAAATGAAAATCTTACCTTCCACGTTGGCACAATGAAACTAGTTATCATACCATGTTTGAACCAAGTTGGAAAGTGCTTTCGTGGATGACCCAAATTCTCCAAGTGCATCCTTAGCCATGTCTTTGAACTTCAAACTTGTCTTCCTTATGTCTCTCCCTCTCTCTGACTCCATCAACTCTCTCACCCTCTTCTCCACTTCTTCTCCACTGACAAACATATCTCCTTCCCTTTGCTCCACCGCGACAGCCACCTTCATGTCCGCCACCATCAGATTCCTATTAACATGTTGCTCTGCATACAATGGCCATGCAATCATTGGTACTCCAGCAACCACCGCCTCCAGCACCGAGTTCCAGGTTTGTACTGTGGAAGGGGATATTTCATCCCGTTTGCGGCCACAGCGGAAGGAGGTGGATACACGGTGCTGGCCTGAGGCTGTTGAGGAAATGCATCGTTACCCAAATATTGATGGATTGCTGGCGCGAATAGTTGATGAAGATGGTGATTAAGTGAGGTGAGTGAGTTAAAGGATGTGGCTAAGGATTTTGAACAGAGGGAGGTTCGAAATTATGCGTTGCTGATGGTGAGGAGGTTGGTAAGCGGAAGCCGGAAGACAGAACGGAACGATAGAAACTGGTTTGTTGTTGTGAGGTGAATCGGATGAAGATTGTTTGTGTTGCAGAAGTTGTACAATTGACTAACGAATAAAGAGCAATGAGCTTTTCCAAATGTATGAGCACCAGAGAGAGCAACTAGATCAGTAGTATTAAGGCCTTGTTTGGCAAATGCAGCTTTAAGTTGGTCTAATGAGTTGAATGGAGCTGGAAGATTTTGATTAGCAAGTGTTTGGTTTGCTGTTAAACTTCCTCTTCTTCCTAATGGAACTTTCCAATCAGGACCTTGAGACAGTGTAGATGATAATTCAGCTGCAAGTGCAAGAATATCAGCACAAGAAACAGTGTTAGGACAAACACTTTCTACAGCTGTTTTGATTTTGTTGACAACATCTAAACCTCTCAAAGAGTTGATATTTGGAAAAGCATCTTGTTCAGTCACAATGGTATCCGTTGTGTTCAACAAAACTGATGCATCACAACCTTGAACAAAGCATTCATGGAAGTGAAGCCTGACGAGACTAGCAAGCATACGAGTATCTGTTTTGGAAACATTTCTTATGACATCACGAACAATGGAACTAACGTTTGGACAAGTGTTGTTGTAAAAGGATGGATCAAGTTGTGCATTTGAGGAGAAAGGTAATAACACTCCAAACAGAAGTAGAGCACATAAGAAAGAGGTTGTTGCAAGAGACTTCATTGTTGTTGTTTTTTTCTGTGAGTTCACTTTTTCTTTTTGCAGAATGATAAATAAATGAAAAGTAGATATTATTAAAAATGTGTATAAAGAACAGCTATGAATTTGAGAGAGACAGTGTTTAATGTTGCTGTTTTTGAAGAGATGAAAGGGAGTTTTGGAGGAAGGTTGAGTGAGGCGAAAGGTTTTTACTGCTATGCTTTTTGTTTTGTTTTTGGAGAGAGAGGAAGTGAGTTTATTTTTGTGTTTGTTATGAGAGATGTTGGTTGTGTGTGATATTGAGAATATAGGGACTTTTGGTTACTGTAAGTAGAAAAGGGGAATAAAGGGAAGTGGATAGAGGGGGAAAGGGTAAAAAGTGATATTGTTTTTGGCAATTTTGTATCAATCCTCAATTTCATCCAACAACCAATAGGAATAGAGTGTAGCATAAATAATATATTTTGTGATCAAATAGTCCTTAAATGCCTAAAATAAAATAAAAACCTGAAATTATAAAAAATAACTCAATTTAAAATGATTTTTTTGAATATTTTATGAATAAAAAATAAAGACCCAAAATGACCGAAAAATGATAAAAAACGGACGAAAAGTTATCCGAAAAAATAAAATGAACACATTAAAATAATCTACATGTCATAAAGATTAAAGGAAAAAAAATGTTCAAGAAGTCAAAAAAATCAAAAATAAAATAATAATAAGAATATCAGACTAAACAGACGTTTAAGGTTAAAAATGAGACTTCGAACTGTACCGAAAAAATTAAAGCGAGCATACCGTCATAATCTACGCGAAGCGCAGATTCATAAAATGATCGGTAAAAGGTGAAAACTTGAAATACTTTCTCGCTAGTTTCCCGCATAGTGTCGAATCGCTTTTAACAGTTTGTCTATAAAACCGAAATATTTTTATTATCGACATATAAACAACTTGGAGCAATGCAAGAAAATAGTAAACAGGTAAAAATGAATGTTGTGAAACGCCGGGTATTTTACAACTGAAAGACGATGCAAACTTTGATTTAAACTGACTTTTCTGATCAACTTAAATACGACTAATGATGCAAAATGTGATGAATGAAGATATTTACTAATGATCGTGACCAAATAACAAAATATGATATGAGAGTGCGACTAAATCATATTAGGGGAGAAATTAAGGGTGCAACGGTTGTGCCTTGATGAATCAGTCTTCGAGAATCCACAATCAACCGTACTTCTGGCTTGAGAGATTCTGAACCCTAATTGAGGCGCGACACCTGATGCTCTTGATTCAGACCTGTCTCTGCACATGACACAAAAGAAAACATGAACATACACCTTTGTATGTGTGATCGGTGGATCTGGAACTGACTGTTTAACGCTGGTTCGCGAAATGTTGCGGAACCAAGAGTCACCACCGTCTTTTATTTTCTCCAAATGGAAAGGACAAAAGCACAGAAATATTCCTTAAAGAGATTGCTCTCGGTTCGGGAGGTAGGTTATAGAAGGGGAAGGTGTTAGCACCCTTTCTATCCATGGTTATCCATGGGCTCTTAGATACTTGCTCATTTGTGTTTTCAAAAATGGTTTGTTTGCTTTTCAATTGTGGGTTCTAAAAAGTATCTTTGAAAATTTCAGTTCGACTCTTGTATCGGTCCTCAAGAGTGTTTGAAAAAATGCTTTCGAAAGCTTTTTTTGAAAATGTGTTGGTGTGAAAAGTATTTTTGAATTTGTTTTGAAATTTAGAGCAAGTATCTAGAGTCGTCTACCTACCCTAAGGAATTCGTCTGTGTAAATGTCCTTTAAAGTAATGCTATCCCACCATTGAGAGGTAGGTAGCACCACTATTGGAGTTGTTCGGGTCAATTCGAAGTTCGGGACATGGTGATCACTAGAGCAATAGGAAGATACCTTAGAATCTACCCTCATGCCAGGTTCCCGGATCATGAGGACTTACTAAGACATCCTCTACTCGACGATCACCTTTCGAGGCAAGGCAACAGTGAGGCGTACCCTAAGGGTGGTGTGTGATTTGTGTGTCATGTTCATTTGCATTTATCTTGTTATGTCAAAGTGATCTATGCGTTTGTTTTTATTTAATCATTCATTCTTGCATGCATTTATTTAACAGTTAAAAAAGATGCGGAAATCAAAAGTTCTAAGCTATTACAAAGGCGCGGGTCCACATCGCCAAAATTAAAATCCAGGACCCGATTTGACAGAAAATAAAGAAATAAAGTAAAGTGCGAGAAATTAAATTTACACGGCTTTGGGAGAAGTACATAAGAATTATACGAAAAGAAAGTAAACGTGCGAATTGGAATTAAAATTGGAAGCGAGGGCGTTGGACCCTTTAATGAAATTAAAGTAAATGATTAAATTAATTAAATAAAATGAAAAAAGAAATTGTTTTGAGATTTTTTGGATTTATGATTTTAATGAGAATTAAATGAAATTTAAACCTAATTCTAACTATTTTTAATTTATTAAGAAAAACATATTAAAATTAAACCTAAAATTAATCTAATTATTTACATGCAATTTGATTTATAAAAATAAATAATATTTAATTATTTGTGATGAGAAAAGAAAAAGGATAAAAATTGATTAAAAACCCTAATTCTACAAATTTTAAGTTTATTAAGAAAAGATATTAAAATTAACCCTAAGTTTAAATCTAATTAATTAGTGAAATTTTATTTACAAAAAATATATTAATTAAATAAAATACTATTTTTTGTCTTTTTCTGATTTTTGTATTATTTTATGTTTTTTATGAAAATAAACTAAATTAAAGAAATTAATTGAAAAAGAAATAATTGAATCAAATAAAAAAATGGAAAATATATAAAAGAAATTGCAAACCTAGGGGGGTCTGTCCCCAATTGAGAGGTATAATCCAGTATTTCAGGCCCATTAACTTCTGGCCTGATTGACTTTTCTGCTAGCATGCATGGGCGTTGACTCCTGCCCAGGGTGTTCTTCCAATCAGTGCCTTTGGATTGATCTTTCTATATGCGTGGCAAGCTTGAGATTATGGATGTATGGTGTTCCCCAGTACTGAAATTGCACAGAAGCGTTAATGGAAAAATAATATGGAAAGGGGTGGGGACATGGGGTTCGAACCCAGGTCCCAGGGATTATCAACCAAGTGCCTTGCCAACTGCTCCACTTGCGCTTTCTGTTTATAATATAACTAACAAATAACATAAGCGAACATAAGAGTTAGTGGATTTTTTAGCGCGAATTTTCAAACAACCCAATCACTGCTGGCCACATAATCATCTTCTTCCTTGGCTTTGTTTTTTTCCTGAAACAAAAAATCATTAGCAACGGTTTTGAACCTTCCCCAAATACACCATATTTCAAAATAGCGATTAGCTTGTGGTAGCTCATAAATTGAGCGTGAGGGTTGCTTTAGAATGGTCCAAGCACGCTGGTTTCAACCATGGTATTGTGATGTTCTAATTTTACCAAATGCATAAACGCCCAATTTCAACTTTGAAGAACCCTAGCCTGTATCAATGGTGAATTCTTCAATGGTGCACGAAAACTCAATCAAACCACACAGTTAGCTTTAGAATTAAACAATGAACATAAATCAAATGTTAAAAATTACTAAAAACGTATGATTCATGATGCAAGCATGTGGAAAAAAATATGAACAGGACGAAGCTGTTCTACCGTTTCTCTGCGTTAGGATGGATGGTTTTGGTCTGAAAACCTTCCTTGAAGTCTCAGGAAGGTGATGGAATGGTTATTTGGCCTTTAAACGCACTGGAAGATGGTTTTCAAATTTGAGCTTTTTTGATCAAATTGCAAGTTTTGCTATGGAATTCTGGCGCAGCTGGGAGGTAATATGCATTAGGGTTAGCATCAATATATACATGTGAATGATTAGGGTTGGTTTTTTGTCCAAAGAATCCATGAATTGAAGGAATCAATCTTTGATTTTTATGCCATAATTTTCCAATCTTTTTCAAGCATATTTGGTCTCAATCATATCCAATTACCTTTGATTCTTTCCTAACCTGATTTGCACGAAATCTTGGAGATATTTTATGCACAAAAAGATTCAAAAAGTTAGGTTTAGTATTTTCCACATATTTATTTTAATTAAATGAATTATTAATAATTAAAAATCCAAATAAATAAATAAAAATGATAAAAAAACTTCCCTTTGGGCCAAATGGTCGTGCACATGCCTTGGATGATGAATTGTGGAAGAAAAAGAGGCCCATTAGAATTTTTAGGACATTTGAAGCAAAGTTGACTTTTCAAAATATCCAAAAATTTCCCAACTTCCACAAGGCATATCTTGCTCAATTTTTAAGCTTTGCTCATGTTCTTGGACATTTTGGAAATTTCTTTGAGTCCTCTAACCAATGTCTTTGGTACCATGTCATTTTGATTTACCAATCTCAAGTTATGGCCTTTGACTTAAAGTCCCTTTTTGTTGACTTTTGAAAATGACCTATAATGTTGAAATTGATAAATTTTTGTGAGAGCATTTCTTGGACTTGAAGTATGAAGAGGAGTTGTAGGAAATGTCTTTATCTTCAAAATGAGCTTTGGATGGAATTTTTATGATAATCCATGTGAAAGTTATGCCTTGGTCAAGTTACAGTTGACTTTTTCAACTATCCAAATATGGAAACTTTTGCATCTTGATGATTTTTGAGCCAAGCTTTGAGAATCATGATCAAGCATTGATCAAATGATGTTTGTGGCATTAAAATGAGATGTTGACCAAAAATTTGAACTTTTGACTGTCAAATGACCATTTTGCCCCTACAGTTGACTATAGTGCAATTAGGGTTTTTGACTGTGCAATTTTGTGCTGTAAGTCTTGAAACTTGGTATAAGGATGCTTGACCATGTTTGCAGGCATGTGGGACTTGATTGGACCCTTGGAAACTTCATTTTCTTGGTCAGAACCAAAACCCTAATTTTGACTGTTAGGAGGTCCTTGAACTGTGCAACCCTTGGGGAGATTTTGAAGCATTGTATTGGCAAATCTTG